AGAGCCTGATCCTCGTCCCAGGCATCAACTACAGTGACCAGTTCCTCTTGACCACGTTTGTTAGATGTCTACCTGAGAACATGAGGAACTTACTAGCCAGTGAGGCACGCACTGAGTACCACTCATTTGAGACATTGTCTAGGAAAGCCTTAGACTTAGAGGCCACGCTAGGCAATGTTCAACCCACCTCAGGGAATGACTCAAAGAAGAAGAAGACTCCTCAGGAGTGGAAGAAGAAGGGGGCAAAGTTGATGATGGTTGAGTCTGATGGGACTCAAACTGAGATCGATGAGCTCTTTGACCTGATGGACTACTCAGAGTATAACGGCGAGGAGGTAGCTGAGGGTAGCACCCTCGCCGCGATAGTAAAGACTAAGGCAGGTGACCGAGGGAAGGGCCAACCTAGGAGTCAAGGGAAGGCCGCCTCCAATCAGTCCAAAGAGGCTGAGTGGGTCAAGGCAGGTCTTGACCAGGACGTGTGGCGTGACCGCCGATCGCGTGGCGCTTGTATCAACTGCGGTGAATACGGACACATGCAGTGGAAGTGCCCGAACGCTAAGGTTACGCAAAAGGTTGCACCAAAGGTTGGGGCTACTATTTCCCAGGCTTCTAGCTAGGGAAACACGTAGGGCCAGTGGAAGTGATAGCGGCTTCTACTCAAGATGAAGTGGGAATGATACCCTCCTCACTTCATGAAAAGGCCGAAGCTAATGACTCCTTAGGTACCCCGCAGACGCATCTAGACCAAACTATGCTCTTTACGTTAGATGTGTCTGAGGCCTTAGAAAACTTAGAAGGCGAGTGGTCAAACAAGGACCCTCGTGAGTCTTGGGCGACGCTAAAGAAGGGTCCTAGAGGGGAACATTTCGTTGTAGGAGGCTGCAAATGTGGTGCCTTCATAGACACACGCTCCACGCGAAATTACATAAGTCGCGACTGTTTGGAAAGGCTGCACCTACAGGACCGGGTACGGCACCTTAGTAGACCAGTAGCATCTACTTTGGCCAACAAGGAGCGCATGATTGTCACAGACTACCTCAAGGACGTAGTCTGTACCTTCTCCTATGGAGGAGGTGAGCTTAACCATAAGATCTCGTTCTTGGTTAGCGACGACTTGCCATTCGATATGTTGTTTTAGGCATGTACTACCTCGAAGTTGCTGAGCCCCAGTTCGACTGGGATAAGAAGGTGTTCAAATACAAGTTGCCCGATGGCCGAACTGTTAGATTGATTAAGTTCAAGGCCAGTAGTATAGTAGATACCTATGGCTGCTTGTGCGCATCAGCATTCTATAACTAT